CAGTGCAGTCCATAAATGCTTTTTTTATCTAAATTTGACTAAGGGGTCACAACTTACATGCAGGCCTTGCTGTACTTATCTCTCTCATACATTTCTCTCTTATCTAGGTTACTGTTCCCATTGCTATAGAATGTGAACATCTACTCAGCACTCCACAAATGGGATTACTAAAATACACTCCACCTAGGGCTGTTTTCAGAAACTCTTCTGACACTTGAAATAAAGCAAAGTGAAGCTGTTTCTTTGTGTTGTAGTACTATTTGTACAGAGCTTTTTACACTTATTTTTAATACATTTCATTCATTTATTTCCTGGTGTTGACAGCTGCTGACAACATACCCTTAGAGGACTGCCTAGTGTGTGATTTTCCCCAACTGGTCTCACAGCAAGAGCATGTTGGTTTTCAAGGAATGATGAAAGCTCACATATTTCCTTAGCCCATACCATGACTGAAAAACATGGCCAAAGGTAGGACAGCAGACAAAAGAATTCATATCTCATCATTTGTCAGTTTGATTGATGGGTATTTAGTACATGTGCCCACTCTTGTGCTGCACATTCTTAATAGGAAAGGAAGACACAAGCCATAGCCTGCTTGTGATTAATTAGCGTTTTAGTATTATGATGTCAGTATTAACAGGCACTGCATAGGAAAATTAAAATCTATCAGTTAGAATCTATGCAAGAGACAGTTAAAATATATAATTATACACACTAAATACTTGACTGCCAAATTCCATTTGTGTATCATCCATCAGAGAAGAACTTTATGCATAATAGTCCACATAGCATTACAAAGCCTCTGAAGTAGAAAGTACGATTCCTACCTAAGAGATAAAAATCTGAGCCACAGGAGCCAACAACCAGATTTTTAAAGGTATCTAAGTGCCTGAACATGGAGATAAGTGTCTAATGGGGAAACTGCATGCATTTCAATGGGCCATCATGATTGCAACAACACTTCAAACCTACTATTTATTTCAATGGGAGTTTGGCACTTAGGTGCTTTTGAAAATTTCACTGGGCACTCCTTTAGGTGCTTAGACACCTTTTAAAATCTGCTCCTATGACCAAGGTCATACAGGCAGATGTGGCAGAGCCAGGAATTGACTCTGTCCCAGTCTTTAACCACAAGATCATCCTTCCACTCTTACACAGGCATATCCATAATCGATTTTCAAATGTTAATAAGTCATCTGTTTTAAATATTATCATTGCATTTGTTACCTATGTTGTAATCTGTACCATCTTATCTCTAAACATAGATTTTGAGTATTGTTTGTTGTCAGGAAGAGGATGGCTTTTTATACACACCAATCTTATTCTAAAAGTTCCTGATATCTTTCCTCTTTTGCCCTTCTTTCATTCCTGCTAGTACAGATCATACTGTCTCCTCTTTTAAAACAAGACAGGCAGTATTACAACATGACATTCAGGACCTGTGGAAAGAAGACAAGGCACAGATGATGGTTACTGAGTGCTTTAAGATCCATGCAAGCAAAATAGATTCTTCTGCACAAATGCAATAGTCATGGCAACAACTCCTCAGCTCTTGTGGATCAGGAATATGTAGTCAACTTTAAACATAATCCCATATACTCAACTTGTGCTTCTGTATTGCTTAATTAGCAGTAGAGTCATAATTCTTTTAACTGCTTTACCTTCACTCACTAAGAGCCTGGATATAGAACAATAAGTTGAACACAAGCCCTTAGGATGCAAATGCAGGTAAACAGGACAGGCCACAGTAGTGTAATAGGGGGTCTTTGCTGGGCTTGTTTCCATACAGAATACTACTTTCATCCCCCTCACCGCAACATTTCAGTTTCTATCTTTAATTGCACACTAGTCATCTAAGTTTCTGAATACTTTGTTGTACAGCACATTATACTAGCACTGGAATGTGTTTAATATAAAAGTAGGACATGAATCAGTACAGACTCTGAGCCTATGACAAACAAAAAAGTCTAATTTTTTAAATCTGTACCATCATAACTCCCAGGCAGACACATTTGTCAGGTAGTCATCAGTCAACTTCTTTATGTACCAGTTTGCCAGTTTTCTGCATTTTCTTTAGAAACCAAAATAACCCTTCCAGAGTAATTTAAAAAAAATGGTTATATTAAATTTTACATCCATTTTAACATGAGTTCTAGAGGCACCTAAAAATAACTGCTATTTAACAACTGCAAATATGATAAACACTGAATGTCTGAATACTTTGAGATGTCCATTTTTTAACTTGGCAGCATATATTTTGTAGAATGCAAAATGTACCTCTCTGGTTCCATCACAGTGGCTAGTACTTCTAATTTATGTATATTTCTGGGTCAGTTACAGTAGAAGCCTCTTTATGGGATATGATCCTGTACTATTTCTCTTGGCTGTCAGTGGCAGCTGTTAGTACTATGCTGCTTCCAGTAGTAATTACAACGTGCGAGGAACTGTACAGTCTTACAGGAAGGCAGACCTTACAGTATAAAGACAAAACAGACAGGGATAGGGAGAAGTAGTACATCAGGACAGGTAACAACAAACTGTTTGGATAATAACGCTGAAAAACACTCAGGTGAAAATATGCCTTTGTGAGAGAATTTTCCACTCATGTAGGCTAATATGTTAAAAAAAAAATTCACTCATCTGATAAGAATAAAAGTAAATTCTATTCCTTCTGTTCCACAATGGTTGCCTAAGTATCTGTCTTTGCATGTGTCTTCTACCATAACAACAGCTAGTGCCTCTCTTTCATTTTCTCTGTCTTCCATATTGCTTGCTGTTGTCTATATTTAGACTCCTGGAAAAGTTTCTCTACTTGTTTAGCAAAGCCAGGACTGTTTTCTTCCAGTGCATTAATAGTCTGCAGGACCAAAGGAGTCTTCTCCCTTGGAAGTGGATTATTCAGTGGCCTTACTGGTATGACAGAGTTGTATTTATGCCGTTTGTTAAGAGCGTTGATCAGGGAAGTATAAGACTGAAACTCAACCCAAGCCTCACTTAGGAAGTTTTCTGTCAACAATATAATAGTCCATGCTGACCCATTAACAGCATCATTTAAGTTTTCTAAGACATGTCTCCCACAAGGCATTTCTGCAAAGATTATTCCAGGTTTAACACAAAATTTATTTTGTAGCAGGTGCTGGACTCGGATGGCTTCATCTATATCATTCTCAGCATGCAGAATCACAAACTTGTAAAAAACATCCTCAGGATCTTCATCACTGTTGGGGATTTCTGAAGCAGTTGTGGAGGGCTCTTCTATTTCAACAGACAGGTCATACAATTCAGAATTTTGTTTTGAATCTCTCTGACATGTATCCACATTTTTACCCCCGTAGGTGTTATTTGATGGGGGTGGAGGATTTTGTCTGGAGTTAGTGCTGCCCATTATGATAAATGGAAATGTCCAAAGAGGGTGCATTCATATGATTGGCATCTAATCTTCCCATTCTAAAAATAAAAAATGGAAAAGCTGTTGAATCTTTATAGCAACTTATACTTGTATAGGGGAAATAAGTACCAGAAAGATACTTGTCACAATCCTGTAATAATGTGAACTGCTTGTCTAACTAGGGCAGGCTACAATTCATCCTAATGAAAGAAAAGCAGAAATGCTGAAAAGGACCTTGTGGCAATAGTGGGCATTAAATTACATGTGGACTACCATGGCAGCCAAGAAAACAAGCAATTCTAAGCTAAAGACTCAGCCACCATGTAAGATACCAGGAGGTAACTAACAATTTTAAGGCCCTCTGGCAAAATTACACTTAAAATACCCTGTATGCAAGTACCTCATATTCTAATTTGCTGACCTCTTTCTGATTGTATCAGAGAAAAATCAGAGCCTAGGTTTAACATACTATATAAAATACCTACCTTACACAGGAAGCTTTCCCCAAACTGAGACATATGTGCACAAAATGCTGTAGGAAAGTGCATAACTTATACACAAGGACTAATTAGAGAACCACTTGATGACCTCCCAGATTTAATGAATTCCAAACAATATTTCAGAGTTCTGATTTTTTGCACCTCTGTAACACAAATACATATTTGAGGTCCAATTCCATTTCCACTGAAGTCAATGTAAGATTCTAATCTGGAAGGCTGTAGTAAGAGCTGGAAGGGACCTCATAAGGTCATCTAGTTCAGCCCCCTGCTCAAGGCAGGATCAGCCCTGACTAAACCATCCCAGTCAAGTGGCTGTCTAATCTTCTACCGAAAATTTCCAGGGATGGAGATTCCACAACTTATCTAGGGCGGGGCGTCTAAGTGTGCCTATTAATGTGCAGCAATTAATAGCTTGCCCTAGAGCTTATTTCTGCCAGGTGTGTGTCTGTATGTGTCCCCAGGTTTGCAGCACATTGAGCCAGGGCAGAGCAGCCCTGGCTGGCAGGGGACCCCAGGCATCAGCCCTTCAGATATTTGAAGACTATTAGCAAATCCCCCTCAGTCCCCTTTTTCTCCAACCTAAATAACCTTAGTTTGTTCAGTCTTTCCTCATAAGGCATGCTTCCCAGGCCTGTAATCATTTCTGTCATTCTCTACTTAACTCTTTCCAATCTGTCCACATCTTTCCTGAAGTGTGGGGCCCAAAACTGAATGGAGCAAAATTGCTGTACTGCAGTTTACCATTTCCAAACAGAGTAGAATCAATTCCCTTAACTTGCAAGAGATCTTATGACTCACTGTAACCCCAAGTCCTTTGTAGCAGTATATCAGCCTAGGGAAAGAGACAAGTGGGGTCTGCCCACCATGTCCTAGTCTATATTTGTAAATACAATTATTCTGTCCTAAGTGCAAGACTTTGCACTTGTCCTTGTTGAATTTCATCTGATTGACTGTGGACCATTTATCTAATCTATCCCAGTTGTTCTTGATCCTAGCTCTACCCTCAAGTATCTGCAACTCTACCCAACTTGGTGTTGTCCACAAATTTGCTAAGCATGCATTCAATCCCATTGTCCACATCATGAATGATGTTATTGTGGCAGTGTGTTTTAAGGGGACAAGCAGCCTGCAAGTGGTGGGGGTGCTAAAGAGGGACCCACTTGACAGGCAAAGGGCTGGGCTTACCTGGGGGATAAGTCCAGCCCCTGCACAGGAGCAGGCAATAGGATTTTGGAGGCTACAAAAAGGTGGGCTTAGCTAGGAGATAAACCCAGACCTGATTGGACCAAGATGTAAGTTCTTGGAGGCTGCTGAGAGGGAACATCATTGGGCAAACAGGCTGCAGGTAAGGCAGGAGGCAATCGGGGCCCCATGACCAGGGAAGTGGCTGGCCTTAAACAAAGTATAAGCCCACACCCCTGAGTCGAGCCAGCAGTAGACCATGGAGGTTGTGGAGGGAACATCTCAGCAAGATGGCTCTAGCTCTTGACTGCCAGTGTGGAGAGTGCAGCCTCTGGCAGTCTGGCCTTGAGTCACAAAGGCAGGAGCTCCAGGCAGCAGGACAGCAGCTGAGCTCTTGAAATGCTGAGGTAAGCAACTCTACCAGCCTAGGGAACAGGGGAGTAGTAGTTGGGCGGAGACAGAGTTGTGCATGCAGGCACGTGACTGTGGGTTTAAGACCGGACCCAGAGAGGGCTTCACTGCCAGGAAGGACCACAACCGGAGACAGAGCCCAAGGGGAGCAATTCAGGCCAGGGGAGCCCTAGGTCTCAATTGGCCAGAGGTGGGTCCAGGGCCCAGGAGGGGCTGTAACTGAACATGCTAGTCCTAGAGGAGTGTGTGAGAGCTGGACCAGGGGGTCTGAAGGCTTGTAGCCCAGTGGGGAGAGGTCGGGGGCGGCAGGAAGCCTATCCCTTGGAGGGTCGAGCATGAGCTTAGAGAAATCAGAGGCTGAGAATGAGACCAGTGGGCTTGGGAGCCCAGAAGGGAGGTGTGACATCAGTGGGAGAGAGAGGTCAAAGCATCCATAACCCAAGAGGGGCAAGGATACCCAGGGCAGGATAACCAAGGAGATGGTCCTGAGCTAGCTGGGGTTATTACAGGGCCCTTGGCACAGCTCTACGAGCGCTCGTGGTGCTCAGGCCAGGTGCCAGATGACTGGAAGATAGCTAATGTGGTCCCCATTTTCAAAAAAGGGAAGAGAGAGGACCCGGGCAACTATAGGCCCGTCAGTCTTACCTCTATCCTTGGGAAACTCTTTGAGAAGATCCTCAAGGAGCACATCTGTGATGGGCC